TCGGAGCTGGAGCTATTCGAGAAGCCTTCAGCATGGTGATCATCCAAATGGATCGGGTGATCATCTTCTGGCTCCTCGTCGAGCCATCCTCCATTGCCTTGGTTTGGATAATACGGATCGTCGGGATGGTGGAAGCCATCCATGCTATCTACGCGAGAAAGGGGGAAAGAAAGGTTAATAGACGTACTAATCTAGGATACTTATAAGATGGATCGTTATTAGTCGACCCAATACTTGCGTAGTGCATACCAATTACATGTAACCGAAGCAAGATAGTCCTTCGAATAAGCAACCCTAACTTCAGATCCCCAATCAAACAAGAACATGAAATGAAGCAAAGGCCACAATTCTGAGTCTATAGCGCCCTAGTCACATGTAACCGTGGTGTATCTACTTAGCAACTATTATCCTACCAGTAACGACCCTTTTAGTTATCACATATGTAGTTAGTAGAGTGCAGAATATTCCTATAGTATTCTTGTTCTAACGTTCTTGTGGTAGTGTTGGTAAGTTTTAAGACTTGTTGCAACACCACAATCACTCTTAGGCACATGCTAGTCACTCCTGGATAAATGTAGTTGATCAGGCTACATCCCCCCAGATGTGACTGTATGTCTCTAAGCTTAATTGTGTTGTTCAACAATCTTAATACTTTTGTTTTTTCCTAGTATGATATTGATCCTTTTTGTAGTGGTGAATATATATATATATATATATATATATATATATATATATATATATATATATATATATATATATATATATATATATACACACACACACTTAATTAAATATTTTAGTATTTAGAAGTATATATTATTGGTCATATTGTTTTAGTCCCGAAGTGTTTATAGTTCGTATATCTTTTATAGGTTGATATACTTGATTCACAATAAACATTGCTCCGATACCAATCTGTCACACCCCAAAACCGAGAATGGTGGAATACGTTCTGGGGTGGAGGACATCATGTACAGTATCATTACAATTGCATAATAGTAAAAACAAGAAACAACGACCATTTCATTAATATAGTGATAATAATTACAAATGTGTTCTGCACGTTTAATAGACACCAAAGTATAACAAAAATAAAAGATGAGTCTTGTATATGCTCCATCTTCTCCAAAAGTTGCCCCAGTACCTGTCTATCTTTGACCTGAGGATACAAGTTATTTTGAAAACGAGTATCAGCATAAAGCTGGTGTGTTCATAAGATTTTAGTGTCGTTGTTTGTGTAGAGAGTTTTACCAACATGTAATATAGAAACTGAAACTTATGTTTATGAGTAGTAGAAATCCCTAGAAAATCCTATATTTTCCAGAAAGGTATATTTGTAAGTCAATCCTTTGAGTGTGTAAAAGTATCATCGTTGAAACCTTTGATTTGTAAAAGTATAGTAATAAATCTCATGTGAGTGACATAGCTGAAGAAATGTTATGCCTGCTAACAGTAGTAGTGGTATAACTATAGTTTGTAATAGATCTTTAATTACTTCGGGATATTAGTTTAGACTTTAAGTCTTAGTGTATCTGTTTGGATATAGTGTAATCCTTCATGTGACCAACTGTGTGATAGTAGAGTGTCCGATGACCTTCCCAGTCATTCGTAGTGAAGTGATGTAGTGCCATACCTAGGCCTAGTCGGCTCGGACTGTAGTTAACAGTCGGGATGTAATAGCGGCAGTCCCGTATAGATCTATACATGTAGTGTTGCTTTCCTTCCGGGAAGCCCTGGTCACATGGTGTAAGTGTAGTAGAGTACCTTATAGAGGGATAGCGTGTTCTACTTTGTATTAGTGAATTCTCTTATGCTTTAGTATGTTAGACTTTTAGTATAGTAAGTAGAGTGTTCTCTTATACTTGCATTAACTTGTAATATTAACGGTTATAGTGTGTATAGTAGTAGTAGAGGTAACGAGCAGTGGTCTTAATTATACCTATTATAGTTAACTAGAGTGTATGATTGCATGCCTTTGTAATGCAAAGGTAGCATATAAGATGAAGACTTTCATATCTAACACAAATATATATGATATATAACTAAGAAATCAACGACAGTCGGACGGACAACAGGTACCCTAAGACCACATCAAACAAGAACAGGAAATAAGACGAGCTATCGGTCCTAAGTCCTTCAAGTCTTACTTATATAAATATATTAGTGTAGATATATTTATAAAGAAAGTAATTTAAACATAATTTTGAAAATGGTTTAACGACAAATTTAATCTTAAAAATGCATTTGATAATCAACTAAAACAGTTTTATTGGTAAGCAGTTGGCAGTGTAGAAAATCCCCTTTTTGATGATAATTTGTGAATCACATATGATTCAATAATAAAAACTGGTAGAATTATACTTGTATCCCCCCCCCCCCCCCCCTAAAACATGTAAAAACATTTAAAAATGTTCATTAAGGGGTATGAACTCACCTGCAATGAGTTGATCGGGTGGAAGTGTCGGAAGAGCGCTTTAGTGTCAAGTAAAGACTTGAACACCCTTTAGGTTCCTAATAACATATGGAGACATATGTTTACAAGTAATTAGTGATTTAAACTCTAATTAAACACATAACGACATCCTAGTGTGAATAAAAGTTCTATGGTTGAGTGCTAGAAGTCTAATGGGTTGCAAGGAACGAGTATAAGACCCCACCATGGAGTTTACTCTTCCAAAACTCACCTAAAGTGAGTTTACGGTTGGGAGACCACATACCCCATGAGTTTACGGCCGTAAACTCATGGGAGAAGTGTAATTGAGTGTTTTCAAGCCTCTTATGGTTCTAGAAGTGGTTCTAAGGTAATATACACTGTTGTAGGGGTGTTTAAGGTTAATGGAGGGTACTCCCTTGGAGTTTACGGTCCAAGGACCACTCCTTGGGAGTTTATGGCCGTAAACCCCTTGGTTTACGGTGGTAAACTCTTGTACACCCTCCATTCTTTGATTTCAAGGTCTTTGGTTCATTCCTAACAAGTTCTAGTGAGGGTGTAAGGCTTTTTAGGGGTTTAGAGGGTCATTTGGCTTGGTTTAAGGGAGTTTACGGTCTAAGCATAGTTTACCCTTCTGTTGTTGATGTTTGGTTGTCCCAAGTCCGAAATAGCAAGTCCTTAAGCCATATCTTAAGTCTAAATGTAGTTTGGAAGTGTTGTTGGGCTTGTTTGTATGTTTAGAGGGTGTTTACGGTCTAAGCATGTGCTTGGACCGTAAACCCTCTTTCAAGCCCTAAAAATTGTTGGTTCAAGGTTCAAACACTTCTAGGTTAAGTCCAAAACTTGTTTCTAAGCTTAAAGGGAAGAACTTGGGCATTTTTTGCACCATTTTAGGTGTTTACGGCCTAAGGAGCTTCTTAGGCCGTGAACTCCTTTCATTTGGCTTTCTTGAATGATTTTTGGATTAAAACACAAGTCAATGATGTCTAGAACAAGTTAGGGTAAGAGAACTTACGTTTTGGAAGCGAAAACTTGCGTTTTTGGAGTGAAATCGGACTTGAGGAGAGAGAGTAGAGAGAGAAAGTGTGTCTAGTGTGGTAAAAAGGTTCTAAAGAGTGTCCACTCTCCCTTATATAGGGCTTGAGTGTTGTACCCGGTATACGACTACCCGATACTTATGTTAAACGGGGCTTAAAGTTTTACCCGATTAAATGGTCGTAATTAAAAATAAGCTTTTTCCAACTAAATAGAAATGTAATTTACGTGTTTATTATTTATTTTATTACAACAATAAAACATAAAATGAAAATAAAATAAAACATTTCATTAATTTTTCTACCCCAAATTAACGGAACTCTTTATAAAATAGAGTATTTTATTAACGGAAACGGGTTATAATGACGGAATAAATTTTGGGTTGTCACATACAACACCAGAAGAACTACATTTGATCAAAACCTTCTACGAGTACGACACCCTTTCCCTCACAAATGAATCGAATTTGTATGTTACAGACTCATATATTTAGCCGAGAAAGATTGATATTAAGTCTCTTTCTGCCCTAAAATGTGCAGATATAATCGAAGCGTCCGTCAAACCAACTACTTTTGTGGTGCATGAGACGAAGGTTAAAAAAGTAATGAATAAAGAAAAGAAATTTGACAAAGGGCATATGACTATGAGGCCAACATGCATAACTTAGGTTTAATGATAATATATATATACCTTTCCTTATATAGTTTATTGTTCTTGTTAAAATTGTAAGTAAAATCATGATGATGTGATAAAATGTAACTGATAATATCTATATGTGATAAAATGTAGTTGATATTTCCCTCCACTTTGGTCTCCTCTAAATTTTCAGCGCTACTCATCATTGATAGAACATATGAAAAGTGAAGGAACCACAAACCGAGATCAAGTATTCTCAAGTGGGTTAGTGAAATGGGGACCTTATGTGGTGTTATACCTGCAACCAAGTGCTTCAACCAAATACTAAATCTAAGATTAAAAGTTTAAAACACGATGAAATAAAACAATCAGGTTGAGTATTACCTTCATACACAACTCTAAGATTTCTTGAAGTTGAATCAAAGGTAAACACGGAAAAAAGCTCAGCCAATTGACACTCGGTAAGCTCTATACACTCACGTGTAATGTACATCAAAATACCTTTGTAAGATGGTATTAAATCAAAAAGATCCTTCATAAGTAGTACTAAGTTCGCCAAACATCCATTGGACACAAGGTGAAAATAAAACATTTGCTACTGGAAAATACCAAATATTTATGGTGAAAAAAACAACCGAAACATTTAACATATGAGCACTTGCTATGTTCCTCCAACCCTTAATCATAAATTTAGTCAAATACCTCTGGAGTTCGAGATATGATACTATATAAAGTATGCATATGCATCAAGATTTTCATGTAAATTTGCTAAATTTCTGGAAAGTATACTCACTAAGTAACTATTCTTCCTTAAACGAATCAAAGACGTTATGTTTATACATGAAATAGAAATTAGAACGACATGTTTTTTTGTAGAAAGAAGTGATTACATACCTCATCAAGCACACCTTTCATGAACCAATAATTGTTTAAAGCCTGTTGTTTGGCCACAATATTCATTCCATAGATCCATTTTGCTCCCTTTCAAACCAAAAATTTCTTTAAAACCTTCAAAAACAAAAGAACATAAACATAAGTATTAATGATTGGTCATACGGCTCCAAAATCTATGCAAGCATAATCTTGATTAAAAACCTGAATTTTTATTTGGAATAGTCGGACTAAGTTGTTGCAATAATTTAAAATGATTCACGAAAATCAAAATTCGATAGTTTGATAAAATCAAGTTCATGAATCCTTCCAACATACAACGTTTAAATTAGAGATAGAAACAAAGAAAAAGTGTCTGCCTTTGATAGGTTTAACCTGAACGTGGTGGTCGACAATCAGAACAAAGGAACCCTATATCCACTATCACCATCGCCGTCACTGAAGGAGAAAAAAACATAAAATTAACAACCATGACGACACTAACCAACCACCTCAATCGGTAGAGTAAGTGGAAATACCAGTGGAGATAGCATCGAAATTGGATGGATGGATGTTGCGGTGGATGATGTTGAACAGAGCGGCGATGACTCCAGTCATAATACCTTCAAACAAACAAATGTGAAGCGTCGATGGATCCTCTATGCCAAATGGTTTCCAAAGCTTGAGAGTTTGTCGATTGAAGACCGAACCCTGGGAGTATATAGGAAGAGGGATGTGATAGAAAGAGAGGGAAATAATTAGTGATTTGAAGCAATAGAAGCGGTAAGAGATCAAGACTGTGGATAAATGGACCGATTAAAGTAACCCCGCTGGGTACTCCGACGCAGGCGGAAGTAAAAGGAAGCAAAAAGGGATAAGTCCATTGAGAAATGTATGGCAGTGGAGCTGTGCAAGCCTTCTATTGGAGACGAAAACAGTGGTGAAGGAGAAGCGGACATGCACATATGAGTAAGTTCTTCAGCCACCACCACCATTGACCATATAGTTAGGGCTCGCAAATATGTACAGAGAACCAACCAAACATGTTAACCGGTTAAATAGGTAGCTAAGTTGTTTGGTAGCTAATATGTTTGGTTGGTAATACCATATCAATTAAGTAGTCTTGGTACGGTAACAATATGAAATTTTGAATACCATGGTTGTACCGTACCAACCTATATATATATATATATATATATATATATATATATATATATATATATATATATATATTCATAAATACAAAGAAATATGAGTTCTCATATCTTCATTTTTAATTAGAATAACAACTAACAAGTCTTAGAATTATTAGACTAACACATTGATCGACAAATTTCTTGATACTTATTGTTTGATGTGCACGAGATCGGTGGTACATACACTAAAACTTAAAAATGAATACTAACTTCTCATTCCTTGTACTTGTACTGTTACCATTTGTTTCCTCTAGCAACTTGCTAGGGGTGGACATCTTTTAATCCTTTTAGTGGTTTCTAAAAAAAAATACTACCAGAAGCGAGAGAAGCAACAACCAAATGTCCACAAATTCAACTTATATTCATGTATAGTACATATTAGTTAAAAATTTTGGTATATACCAAATACCAATATATACCAACCAAATTTATTGGTAGCCAAATTAATTGGTACCAAGTACACTTGGTATGGTACTAGTAGCTAAAATCTTATACCAATTTGTTGGGTCAAAAATATGGTTTATACTTTGCTTTTCTGGGCAATTATATTTTTCTGTAATATTTCTGGAGTTTACGGTCATGTTTACGGTTGAGTTTACGGCCGTAAACCCATTTACGGCCCATGTCCACCAAGCCCATATTCTTCAGGTATAAATATAGGTGTTAGGGTGAGGAGTATAGATTGATGAACACGAAGGAGTTTACGGCCAGAGAGAAAGGAACATTTGTGTGGGTGAATCTTGTGTAAGGAACTTAATTCGTATTATCAATACATTCAAGATTCATATTATTCTTCTTCTCCTTCTCTTCTATTTGATCTAACATCATCCGTTTGATTGGGATTCCGCACCATCAAACGGATTTGATTGATACACAGGCAAATTAGGGACTTACAATTGGTATCAGAGCATAACCAGTGTCAAAGACGTCCAACAGTTGCGTTTTTAGCCAAATCGACATTCACAATGATAAAGAAGGTTTAATTCCAGTCGAATTTGAAGTTTCTCGAAGCTTACGGCCGTAAACTCGTATTCACGGCCACGAGTTCTTTAAGCTTCATTCTCCGCAAACAATTCTCTCACACAGCAATCGAGCCTTTGATATCAAGTTTTAATTCCCGCATTTAATTGAGTTTATTTTCAAATAAAAATCTGATACCTGAGTTTAATTTTCATTGACCGTAAACTCGTGAAATTGATTTTCTGTTAACCGATAATTGCACCGTCGTTTTTTTGAGTAAATATTCAAAATTGTCTTTGGACCGTAAACTAGAGTTTACGACCTAAATATTTACGGTAATTTGATTAATTCATAATCAATAAATTTTATTACGAATCGAAATTCAAAATTTTCCTTGACCGTAAACATCAGTTTACGGCCTTAAGAAAAATTTGAAAATCTCTTATCAGTTTACGGCAAATTAAGTTTTTAATTAAATTTTATTTCAATTAAATTTTATCTTAATAAAAAATGGAAACACAAAATTCAAATCAATACCAAGAACTTGACGCTGTGATGGGAACAACTACGCACATTCCTCGACTTATGTCTGCTGATGGCTTCCCCGAGTGGAAGTACAGAATCGAAAAATATATAAAAATGAAGGATTTTAAAGTCTGGAAGTGCGTAATCAAAGATCCGATCAGAATCACCACTACAGTCGCGGGAAAAGTGGTGGATAAGAAGATTGAAAATTATACCGATGAGGATTTCGAGACCATTGAGGAACAAGAGAAGGCATTGGCCATCTTGACTATGGCACTTTCACCAGACATTGCACAAGGTTTCAGAGAATACACTTCTGCCAAAGCATTATGGGAGGCACTGATTGAAGTATATGAAAGAAACGAGGATATGCGAGATTGTCGCCAAGACATGTTAAGGTAACGATTTAACATGTTCAGTTATGTGCCCGGCGAGACTCTTGAAGCCCAGTTGCAGCGGTTTACAACTCTTAATACCGAAATGACTATAGCGGGGATCTTCTATACAAAGTCTGAGATCAACAAGAAGCTACTAAATGCTCTCCCAAAATCTTGGGACATAAATGTGGCTGTGATTAAGAAGACCAAAGATCTCAATCGCCTAACCCTAACTGAAGTGATGGCTGTCATCAAAGCATGTGACATTGATGACAAGCAAAGAGAGATAAACCATGTTAACTCATACTCGACTGCAAACCTTGGCATTTCAACTAACAATGCTCTGTCTTCGTTTTCTTATTCATCTGCATGCTTACCCTTCAATGTACCTCCTCAGACTCAGATACTCTCTCATCAATCGGCTCCCATTATCTCAGCCATGCCCCAGCCACAGAACCAATCATTCTTGACACCTCCTTCAAATGTGGCTTCTTCTTCTTCTTCAAAGGGAAAGGAGCTTGATGAGAACATTGTCTTTGTTGCAGGGCTAATCAATTGCTATAATGCTCTTGTAGCTGGGGAGCTTCCTCCTCAACTGTCGTTTACAGATCTTGATCAAATCCATCCGGAGGATGTTGAGGAGATGGACATCACATGGCAAATTGTCATGGTTGTCTTTAGGGCAAAGCAATTTGCCAAGAAGATGGGAAAGAATAATTGGGGAATGAGCGCTGACAGGAAGGTTGGGTTCAATAAAGGAAAGCTTAGGTGCTTTAACTGTCACGAGCTAGGGCATTTTGCTCGTGATTGTCCTCACCCCAACAGAAGACCCAATAATAACAGATCGATTGTTGCAGTGGGAAACAGCAGAAACAGCGGGCAACCAAACAATAAGAAGGCTATGGTTGCACAATCATTTGACTGGGAAGATCAGATACAAGCTCTCAACATCTCTGGTCCAGAAAATGCTCATCTGGCACAAGTAAAGGATGATACACCAGCAGGGATCGTTGCAGCGGAGGACAGCATGATGAAGCTTCAGTTTGCCTTGATGGTATCTTCTTCCAATGAACCTAATTCATCCAAGGTAAGTCTTCCATCATGTTCACAAGCTTGTATTGATTATGTGAAATCCCTACATGATAAAATTGAAAATTTAGAAAGCGAACTAGATAGCCTTAAAATCCTTCGTGAGTTAAATGATAAATTAAAAAGGGACGTAGAAGACCTTAGATATGAAGGATATCAACTTAGGAAAGGTCAGAAATCTCTTAAGGCTCAACTAGAATAAAAAATAAAGGACTTTAGAAAACTACAGGAGGAATACAGTAATAAATGTGAAAACTATGATTATGTTGTCAAACAAAACACATAATTGGTGGCTGAAATTGAGTCCTTGAGTGGCAAATTTGAAACTGCCAAACTTGATGTTCGAAAATATGATCATTCAAGTGAAGTGGTTGCGAACATGATAGACCACAACATGAAATTTAAAAGAAATCAATTGAAAGGTCTAGGATACAATAATGTGCCACCTCCCTTTAATCATTCATATCTACATAAGTCATTGTCCAAGAAAGAAATTGCCAATGAACCTTCTATGGTTTATGGCGAATCTTATGATTTTGTTTCAGGAGGGTTTATTAATGTTGAAAGTACTAACATTTCTACTTCTCCTGCAGATCAATCCTTGAATCAGTCACAGCACGAAGTTAAAGGATTTGTGTCTGAAATTAAACCTGAGTCCGAACCTGAAGTTTTAGCTTTAAACAAAGACAATTCTTTTTCAAATGTTTTGATTGACAATAGTTTTGTGATGTTTTTGATTCAGCTGATATTGTTTTTATTTCCCCTGATACTAATACTGTTTTGAATGTTTTTAATATGTCTAATAAATCTTTGAACAATTTGGTTGACAATTTGTGTATTTGTGATAAAAATGTTGAAATACCACTGGTTTCACAACCCTCTACCAGTAAAGCACCCTCCCTTCCCTCACAATCTAATATTGTTGCTAGTTCTTGTGAGAGAAGCAAGTGTGTTGGTAGGGAAAACAAATCTAAACAATGCAGTACTAGTTCCATCAATAACAAGCATATTTGTTTTAACTGTGGCACTAGTGGTCATATTGCTAGAAATTGTCTGAATAGAATGTTTATGAGCCATAATCTTCCAAGAGGGGAGAACAATTTCAGAGGAAGGTCTTTAAATAGAAACTTCTCTAGAAGTCATTCTCGAGATGATGATTGGGCAGATGAATGAAAAAGGGATACTTTTCACAAACGTAAAAAGGTTTTTAAACACCATGTCCCAAGAAGTCTGCCAAAGAGGAGCTCAGCCATGCCAAGGTCAAGCTCTTCCCAAAGCAGCAATGGAACTTCAACCAACTCTGGTAGAAGTCATACATGCTGTAAGCAGACTGTTAAGCATAACATGACAAAATTAAATGCGACATACAGAAAATCTAATTATAAGTGGAGGCCCAAACCTATTCCCAATACATCATCTACGCCACCTGATAAGGTTATTTGTAGTAAATTTGAAAAGGAATCGGGAACACCCAGGAAAATCATGACCTGGGTGCCCAAATATAATTAAACCCGCACATTTTGCAGGGACAGTTGCGGGGAAATGTCGTCAGACCATGGTTCGTCGACAGCGGCTGTTCCTGACATATGACGGGAGATATCACCCAACTACACAACATTCAATCATTTAATGGGGGATATGTCTCTTTTGCGGGTGGAGATGGAGGAAAAATTACACAAAAGGGAACGGTGTCAAATGGAGTTCTAAGCTTTGAAAATGTGAATTTCGCTCCCGAGTTAAAACACAGTCTGTTAAGCGTCTCTCAGATCTGTGACAAGGGCAATTCTACGCATTTCACTGACAAGGAATGCATGATCTTAAAGCCAGGCTTTGTCATCCCGGAAGAAT